ATATATATATGTATATGTATATGTATACATATATATAGATCATGTGTAGCGAAAACATCGAATTCAACTAATACATTTATCCTGTAGACAGCCAAACGTATGACTATAACCAAAAGTACACAAAGGCTTAACCAATTAAATAGTCAATCACGGAATCCATCCGGTTCCAATTGTTCTACAGATAACCAATGATTCGGCAGTGATCGAAGAGTACGAAGGTCTAGAAATAGCACACGACACGTTCATGGCCAATCAGATTGCTCTGCGCATCCGTGGGCTGCGTAAGATGTTGGACGATTTCGCACAGCCAGTGGATAAAACAAGGTATACTCCCTGTACACAAATACGTATGGTATAAGCGTACCATCTTCAGAGGTAACTCACTTGGCTTATTGTAGATCACCATGTTTTCTCTTTTTTCTCTACTTTTTGCTTTTTTACGTTTACCTGTTCTCCGTTTCACTCATAAGGCAGATCAACTTTGGAATAAATTGTCCATGTTTTTGCACACGCTATGCACAGATGGGCGATGACGGCGGCCACAGTGAATGCCTACTATGACCCCTCCGTCAACGAAATAGGTGTGTGTATGTGTATATATACATATATATATATATAAGTGTGTGTGTGTGCGTGTGTATGTATGTGTGTGTGTATGGGTGTGTGTGTGATTGGCGCACCGTACGTATTTCTTGTTTATTATCGTTTCCAAACAATTCGTATACATGTGTATTAATAATAAGATCGGTGACACATTCACTGTAGATGTTTCAGCCGGACGAGTGTTCTTGATGGAGTGTGTGACTGGTTTTAGTCGAACAATGCCTGTGGTATGCTTGTACGTATGAATGAGTTGTTTCTTGAGATTTTCTTTGTAGATGTTTCTGACGGACGAGTATGCTTGGTACAGTGTGCGTCGGAATATTTGATGAAACAGTCATTGTATGCGATTTTTTATCTGTACACGTGATCGGTGCATAAGTCACCGTCTATGGTCTGAACTGACTGTGAAACAGTCATTGGTTATTGTATGCGTTGTAGTCATCTGTACAGGTGGTCGGTGCCTCAGTCACTCTATATGGTCTAAACTGTCTGTCAAGGCATGGGTTATCATCCATTCGTCGTCGACAGTTATTGCGGGGGATGTGCGTACCACTGCGTCTACTGAGCTATCTACCACCAGGCGAAACGTATTCAGGCCAAGAATAAACTTTGGTTTATCCCTTGGAAACCGACTTTGTAGCCGAGACTACTATCGCAGATAATATATAGGCATATTGCGGCTACATCGTTCCGCAGACCCTACACCTTGTGCATTCCGTTTGTAACGCTAAATTCTTGTGCGTCCACGTGGTACCTGCAGTGGTTCATATGCACTTGCAAGGCATGAATACCAATCCTATACCGTCTGCATTTACCTGCAATGGTTCTTGCACGCTCACAATATGAACACTTACACACAGACATACATACATGCTTATATACATACATACACACACACATGCTTACACACCTGCATACATACATGCATACATACATACGTACATACATACATACATACATACATACATACATACATACATACATACATACATACATACATATATACATACATGCATACACACATACATACAGAAAATGCATACACACATACATGCATACACACACACATGCATACATACATACATACATGCATACATACATACATACATACATACACAAGTCACGTAGTGTTAATTTGTTTTTGTCTATGTTCAACCTTTAGAGGTTCATCTGATCAACGAGTCATTCTGTAGTATTTGTTGGTGTATATTTTTTTCTGTAACTCGACGTCCGTGGTAAACCCCTTTGCAGTCACTTACCGAAACGCTTTCACGTAGTTGTACCCTCCGTTGTACACGAAGTCTGTACTGTGTGTGTGCTGTAGAGTTGTTCAATAGCAGCTTCAGCAAACAATAGTTCCTAGTTGCCAGCATCTCGCATAAATAAGAGATATGGGTAGAGGATTCGGGCCCGAAATGTTCTGTGTATGCGTGACTATGTTTCCACACACATCCAATCTAATATATTCTGGACAATTCATGCGAATGTAACTATAGGATTCGGATTCGAACGTATAGAATTTGGAATAAAACCAAAATGGTCTATGAAGGTGTAGCTATGCGTGCACATACATCTTGTTCAGTCTAACTGCAGAGCTTTGCCTTGTTCTGTTGCCTCAACTCTTTTCGCAGGGTGACTCAATGTATACACCCCATATGTCTTCAGTGTTTCCCGCTGGCATTCTGCAGCCACCGTTCTACTCGGCATCCTATCCGCTCTCAATGAACTATGGAGGTATTGGCGCTGTCATCGGACACGAGGTGTGTAGCAATGCCTTGAGTTGTGAGAGCCAG